CTCCATCTTTTTTTTCTTTCTACTTTTAAAAATATTAATAATGCAGATATATATACACGCACCCTACCTGCCTTTCCGACCAGTGTTTATGTTTTACTTTTATAAAAATAAATTGATTATTAACTTTTGTTTTTTCCAACCAGTTTCTTTGTTTTTTTCCCCTACTTCCTCCTCATGCATGTGTTTCCAGATATTATAAACTTTAAAAAAATATTTTTTTATCTTTAAAATTTAGCAAATAAATGAAATTATAGTAAAAAAGTTGTGAAGAAATAAAAACAGTTTTAAGAAATCAGAGCGAAATTAGTAATCAATTTTTTTTTCCAGGTCAGAATTTGGGTCTTTCTTTGAATTTTTGGTCTGAGAACAAATCTTTCACCTGACAAGGTGATTGATTCGTGTCATATACGTTTATAGATGCCAATACACTACCAGCCAAAACAGAGGTACGGACCAAAAATAGTTTTTTAGCTTTAAGCAGAGGCTTTTTCAGTAGAATCCTGCTCAGATTTTCAACTTAAAATCAAGCACAACAGTTCAAGATCATTTTTCTTTCAAAAGAATTCTTCAGTTTGGAACCTGGGTTACTAAGTATTAGCAGATCTAATCGTTAAAACAAAAGGGTGTTTTTGAATTTTGGGTCGCAAAACAGAGCATCCATTACCGACCTGCTTTCATGGAGGCATCAGCTTGAGCGACGTTACGAGCCATGGCAGTAAGCAACGCAATTCCATGTTCGGCGGCCGCGATGGTGTTGGCAGTCGGAGCATTCACGACAAGACAACCGAACTCAGTGGCGGCCTGCAGATCCACATTGTCGATACCGACGCCGGCTCTTCCGACAACCTTCAACCGCCCTTTCGCCGCTTCAAAGACCTGTCGATTGACCGTGGTGCCACTTCGAACAATTAAGGCGTCGCAGGAAGAGATCTTGGCGCAGAGCTGTTCCGGCGAGAGGTCGTAAGCGCAGTCAACGTCGCCGAAGCTCCGGAGAAGCTTCAGACCGGCCTCTCCAAGTTTCTCGGCGACCAAAATGGTGGATCTTGTGTTGGGGAAAGTGGGGTCGGCGAGATCGGAGGTGTGAAGCTCCAAGGTTTCCACCGTCTTCAAAACGCTGCGGATTGGAATAAAATTGCAGCGAGAAGAAGAAATGAAAGAAGAAGAATGAAGAGTGGGGAGGAGGTTGAGAGAAACAGAGGAGTTGGAGATGGAGAAAAGAGGGGATTCGGGAATGGAGGGTGCGAGGGAAGAGGAAAAGAGGGCATTTGCAGAGGAGGAAGCCATTGGAGATGGATTTGGAAGGTGAGAGTGAAAGGGGGCCGAAGGGAATTTGAATGGGGGAGGAAACAGGGTTGAGTTTATGTTGATGGTGGAGAAATGGGGTTGGGATTCTTAAAATAGGAGCGCTGAAATTTAGGGACTGATTAAACATCATTTACCAACCACTTAATCTAATGCTCTTCTCCTCCTAAAAAGAGTTGAGAAATTGATATGCATTTATATAATTAATGGGCATCTTAATAATAATATTAAAGTACAAAACAAATGTAAGTAAATTAATTATTGTTATTTAATTACGCATTTACCCCCACGTCAGAGCATGTGGCGTGTCTTCACTTAAATCCACAAGGCGACCAATTAATAAAAGGTTTGAAGGTTGGATCTAAAACGGGGGCCCACAAGGGAGGGTTTCTCCGCTCTTAGAGGAACGCTGCCCATCTGACCAACCCCCGGACGTGGCGTCTAGAAAAGGGCGGAAAGGAACTTTTTTCTTCTTCTTAATATCAGTAAAAACTATCTTTAAACATAATTATATTTCATGTGTGTCTCATACTGAACTTAGAAATTTAATTCCAATTTAAACCATTTTTCGAGTATTTTTATTAAAAGAGCAAAATTGGAACAATACTCTATTAATTTCGAGAATAAGTTTATAATTTAATATACTATTTATTTAATAAGGAAGGTGATCTTTATTCTTATTCTAGGCGTGGTCAAAAGTGAAACAAGGTTCGACCTTGTGATGGGCCACGTTTTTTAAGATGAGAATTATTAAAATTCCTTCTTTCCACTGTCCAGCCCAGTGATAAGGAAAAACAACAGAAAACAATTAGATATAATGAAGCCAAAATTACTATTTTGCTCCGATCAACGGTGTCTGCCTGCCGGTTCCGTCGCCGCCGTGGCCCATCATCGTGGCCCGTTACAATTTATTGATGTTATTGAAACTGAAACGGCCCAATACTCCGGGGTTGGGCTTATTGGGGGAAATGGGCCTTCTGAGTTTAAAGCGGGCTTGGGTTGCATGGACCGCTCACACGGAGCCATAGCATAGAGACAAAAGGACGTATTAGCCATTGGGCGGTGGACGTGGAAGTGATATATCAATTGGTCCAAAGAACACGCTCCGTGCCATTCTGAAATAATTGGCCCTTCCAATAATGCTCCAACTCCATTGGTTCGTGTTTCTTACGCGCCTTCCCCACGCGTCGCCCCGTCCTTCTCCATAATATGTATATGATTCCCTCGATCTAATATATATATTATATATAAATTTCTTTCCTAACACCCCCAAAAGTTAAAAAAAAAAAAGAGAGAGAGAAAAAAGAAAAACCAAGAGATAGGACGGTCTTCCTTCTCTCTCTCTTCTCTCTCTCTCTCTCTCCCTGGTTTCATTTTTGTTTTTGGACATAAAAGTATTTTGGTTTTCCCCTTTCCCCTCTTCCAAGAACTTTCTTTCTGCTTCTTCATCGAGATCGATTTTCTTAATCGTTTCTTCTTCTTCAATTTATTTGTTTTTTTTATTTTCTGGTGGGTTCGATTCTGATTTCTATTGGGTTCTCCTTCATCGTCGTTGTTGTCGTCATCATCATAGGCACAGAGATGAGACCGCTTCAGCCGCCGCAGGGTGTAAATCCGGCCACCGATCGTCCTCGTCGCCGCCCGAATCTAACCCTTCCTCTTCCGCAGCGGGACAATTCGTCTTTGGCTGTTCCTCTCCCTTTGCCTCCGACGTCTTCTAACGCCGCTCCTCCTCCTTCCACCAGTCAACTCCACAACGGCAACCGTCCACCGGAGCCTCAGCCACAGCCTCAGCCGCAGAAGCATCAGGTTTTCAGCCTCGCCGACTTTGAGCGAGTCAGTCGAATCGGAAGTGGATGCGGAGGCACCGTCTACAAAGTGATTCACCGTCCCACCGGCCGCGTCTATGCTCTGAAGGTCATTTATGGAAACCACGAGGACGCGGTTAGGCTTCAGATGTGCCGTGAGGTTGAGATCCTTCGCGACGTTGACAATCCCTATGTGGTCAAGTGCCACGATATGTTTGATCACAACGGCGAAATCCAGGTTCTCCTTGAATACATGGATCGAGGCTCCCTGGAAGGAACACACATCCCTCAAGAACATCATCTCTCCGATTTGGCTCGCCAGATTCTCAGCGGCCTCGCTTATCTCCATAGCCGCCGCATCGTACATCGCGACATCAAACCCTCGAATCTCCTAATTAATTCCCGGAGGCAGGTTAAGATCGCCGATTTCGGCGTCGGTCGAATCTTGGAACAGACGATGGATCCTTGCAATTCCTCCGTTGGAACTATTGCGTACATGAGCCCCGAGAGAATCAATTCCGATCTAAATCAGGGCCAGTACAATGGCTACGCAGGGGATATTTGGAGTTTTGGGGTTAGCATATTGGAATTCTACCTCGGACGGTTTCCTCTTGCTGTGGAGAGGCCTGGGGACTGGGCGAGCTTGATGTGTGCTATATGTATGGCTCAGCCACCGGAGGCGCCGCCCACCGCGTCGCCGGAGTTTCGCCATTTTATTGCCTGTTGTTTGCAGAGAGAAGCTCGGAAGAGATGGACTGCAGCTGCACTACTGGAACATGCGTTCATAGCGGGGAAAAATGGAGCGGCGAGTCAGTACCAGAATCAGCAAACTCATCACCAGAATCTTCGTCAACTATTACCTCCGCCGCCCCTTCGTCCTTCCAGCCTTTCTTGAGAGAGAGAGAGAGGAGACTGATAATTTCTCATATTGGTTTCTCCTTTTTTTTCTTGAATTACTCTGTCTTCCTAAGAAGCATGACGCCATTGTTGTCCTGTAATTTTTCTGGAATAGCCGAAGGAATGGGGAAATGATTTGCTGGATCAGTAAATCTGTAATCTTTTGCCGATGGCTTAAATTCAAGCCTTCTCGAATTTGATCAGCTTCTTTCCCTCAACTCTTCAAGCTCTTTAGATTAGACTGTGGTGTTGTTTTGGATATATGGGTGTTCATTTTTTGCTTCTCTTTTCTTGCCATTCTCAGCCGAAGTTCGCATATTATTAAAGCCTACTCTTAACCGAAGTTAGGTATCATAAATTTGATCTGTAGAAAGGAAGAAATCCCACTTTCTGGCTTTTGCTCAATCATTTGAATTTGTTTGTGAAATCAAGTAGGTTGTAAAAGTTACACAAGAATGGCGTAGGGACCCAACTTTCATTTGATGATTAGGATAGTGTTTTCTTTTTGGCACTTCAATTCTAATCTGATATAAATGGCAGAGGGGGCTGGCTTCATGGGGCGATGAAGCATTTTGACTTTGGAATTGACCTTTTTTTTAATGGGCCAGACGAAGAGAAATCGCTTAAACCCGTTTCTCAACCGTGCCCAATGCCATTTTCACTTGCAGAAGCAGAGCAGCCATCGTCTCAAAAGAGATTGATTTTTACAAGCAAAATACTCCAATGCTGAAAACCCAAAAGTCCACTTTTTTTCTCAGCTAGTCCTCCATTTCTCTACGGGGTTTCTCCCTTTTTTCCCTCTGCTAATTACCCACCAAACAAAACGCAGCAGTTACTCCTTTGAAACTGAAAAAGCTCAAATTTTTAATTGTACGGATGTTTTGAGTTCTTTTCCAAACTAACAATGGGGGTGGATCGAACAAGTGTACGGCTACTTATTCTGTTTTATTATTGTTAATTTTATAAAAATTACACTTAATAAACAAGTCAAAGCTAAGCTAGGAAGACGCAAGAGGACGATATTTCGCAGAAGCTTCCTAGCTGCTGTGGAGCTTGCCGTCTTGCCTTCCCTTCCTAATCGCCACCCACTCTCGTCTTCTTCATCGCTCGATCTATTTATTATTTTTGTGAACTCGAGGATCTTATTTCGAAGATCTTTCCTTCTGTCTGGCCTTTGCCGACTGTGGTCACCCAAGTATTTATTTTTAAGCAACCGAATCAACCTATACGATCTAATCTAGTGGGACCCGATTGTTTCTTGTCTTACTTTCGCCTTCTTGCTTTTGAGGTTGGTATCTCAGCTCCATTCGAGGAGTTCTTAATCATTTTGCAGCTGGGATTCGACCTGGATATCCTCGTTGCGTCACTTCAAGTTCATCTCCAGTCTGGTAAATGCTCCCCCTCACTCTTTCTATTCATGCACTCACTAAACCTCGTCCTAATCTCGACTCGATCTGGTTTCTTCTTTCTGTTAAGTTAAAAATGCTTCGGAGTTGACATGTGGAAGATGAAGTAGCTGATGGGTAGCACATGTAAATCTACCCAGATTTGTATTTTACTGTAGTTTTGTCTAAAAGGGTCTTTGGTATTGGAAGTGAAAAGGGTTAATTGATCGAGATAACTATGCTTGCAGATGGGATCGATAGAGGAGGGAACAAATTACCTATCTGACGAAGATATTCCATTGAAGGGAACTCCAGTTGCGAAAAACTTATCGCATAGCTTTGACTGTGAGACGGTTCATGTGCGTTCCTCCCCAGATGATAAAAGATGGTGGAAGACTAACAACATTCGTTTTAGACCTCTTGAAAGTGCTAAAATAGTGTTGATTAAAGCAAAGATCAACTTGTTACTTCCTTTTGGTCCTTTGGCAATCCTGCTACATTATTTAACTGGAAAGCATGTAAGAAGTAGTACTCCTCTTCATGATCTTACTGGTTGCATTCTGAAATTTGTGTTAAGCAAATGACATGACTAGATTTGAGAAGAAAGAAATGGTGGAAGACTTGTATTTAGCAAGCCTTCTACGAAACAGAAGCTCCTAGACAATCAAATATTTTTCCTAATTATTTGATTTGATGAGGATATGGTTGACCTTGTTGTGATGCTTTATATCATCTATTGATGTACTCATAAAATCTTGGATCTTCGAACATTCTAACTTTAGGATCTTTTTGCTGCTTAGTACCGTGGCTTGTATGATCTGTCTCATGGTTCATAATTCCTTGATAGTCAGCTTTATATGTCAGGGTTTGGTCTTCTTTTTCACTTTACTTGGAATTACACCTTTGGCAGAACGTCTTGGTTATGCAACAGAGTAAGATTTGGCCTCCCATATTCTGCGTTTAGGATTTCATATTATTTCTATTGTGCTACACTTACGTTTAAAAATACTCATCATGCAGGCAGCTTGCTTCCTATACTGGTCCAACAGGTACAATTGCTAGCATGATCTGGCATTGCTTGTTTTGGTCATTTTGTTTATTCAAGTAGTTCCTCAATTGATTTCTATGGCTGTTCGGTTAGTTTCTCTAGTAACTCATGTTTTAATGGATTTTGCAGTTGGTGGTCTTTTGAATGCAACATTTGGAAATGCAACCGAAATGATTATATCGATTTATGCATTAAAGAGTGGGATGATTAGGGTTGTTCAACAGTCGTTATTGGGATCAATCTTGTCGAATATGCTCCTAGTGCTTGGTTGCGCTTTCTTCACTGGTGGGATTGTTCATCATAAGAATGTGCAGACTTTCAATAAGGTACAAAGTTTTGAGCTCTAGGAAACTTTCTTCACCGGTGGTGATATTTTACTCAATTTTCTTGGTTTACATTTAAATCTGACTATTTGGCAACAGGGTACTGCTGTTGTGAATTCAGGATTGTTGTTAATGGCTGTTATGGGAACAACGTTTCCGGCTGTGCTTCATTTCACCCACACAGAACTTCATTCTGGAGAGTCAGCATTGTCTCTTTCAAGATTTAGCAGTTGTATAATGTTAATTGCATATGCAAGCTTCCTTTTCTTTCAACTAAAAAGTCAGCACAATCTCTATGGTTCTCTTGATGAGGTGGGTCTAAAAAATGCAGAATCAAGGAAATGGCTATCTATCTTTTCCACGCAGTAGTTTCATTTCAAACTGAGATGCTTTTAATTCTAATGGTTTTAGCCTTTTTATATTTCTTTAGGAAGGTGATGGTGAAGTTGAGGAGGATCCTGAGATTTATGCTTGGGAAGCAATTGGGTGGCTTGCTATCTTGACTGTATGGGTATCGATTTTATCTGGATACCTTGTTGATGCTATTGAGGTAAACTTTATTCTAATCAGCATTACAACTTTATTCTAATCCATGGCTTGACTCTAATGTTTATTCATGGTAATTCAAAGCTTTTCTTTAGTGAAGCTTACAAACGTTGTTCAGTAGGTTTCTTTTCTGGAAACCGTTGATAAAATAACAGCAAGAAGATATAGAAGAACAAAAACTATTTTTTACTCACCTAAAATGTTGATGTTGTGCGAATCTCTTAACCTCAAAATTCTACGGTTGAACAGGGAAAGTTTCTAGTACTACCACCGTACAAACTCCTTTCATTTAGCATTTGACATGTCATTTAGTGATATATATATATATACACACACATGCTAGGTTTCTAGGCTTCGCACCATTCTTATATATTTCTTGTATGACAAGTATTGAATAGAAGTAGTATGAGAATTTTTGTGTACTACTATAGCACTATAATTTTTTCTGATTAAAACAGTAATCCTATGGGACCAACCCATATTCTATGGTCTGTTCTCATATGCCTTTGGATCACGCATATTTTTTATATGAAGTCTTCAAATTTCGCACTTCCATCTTTATCTTGGTCGCTGGACTCTCGAATTTTTTCCCTCAAAAAAAAAAAAAAAAAAAAAAAAGAGA